TAGGGGGCCAGACTTGACTAGGATGGGAAGAGGCGTGGCAACAGTCTCATTCCGAATAATTAGGGGGCAGAAAGGCAGCACTTGGCTCACAACTCTGTCCTTGGGGGCTAAGTCCTGTAGCGTTCCCCCCTCCATGCTTGGGGAGGGAATTTCGTATTTCTTTCTATGACAATAAGAACATCTGTGCCAAGGCAGAGGAGGAGGCCGGGCGCTCCGAGGCATCTCTGCCTGTCTCTTGACACTGTCCGATTGTTACTGTTCAGTTTCTGCTTGGATTACTGACCAAGTCCATTTAAAGCAGGCTGGCTTGGGTGAAGACAATGGAGTGCTGAGGAAGGACAGAAAGGACCTGTCCAGCTGGGTGTGGGGATGTGAGGTGGGCAGGGAGGTGGACTGACTCTAAGGTGGCCAGGTTACAAATGAGTAGTTGCAAAATACAGGGTAATCTTACATCCACAAATGGGAGGCAAGAGAGGTTCCACCATCCCTGCTTCCCCTGGGGTCAACTGCTGTTGCCTGGGTCCCATTTCTTTTTTTTTTTTTTAATTTATTTTTTTTTTAGCTGAGCCATCCTGCCACCATCTGTTGGCAGCTCAGCGACAGCTCAGCTCGGGCTGGGACTCGAACCACTGTTGCTCAGAGCTCACACTCTTGAGCAAGCTCTTAACCAATTGAGCCACTTGGCCAGCCCACCTGGGTCCCATTTCTTTGCAGCCTCCTTATTCTGACTCATTGGGGTTCATATCAACTTTGGGGTTAATGGATGAAGACCTACAGGCTTGATCTTTATATGGGACAGTGTGCTTCACACTGAGAAAAAAACTGGCTACTTCCTTCCTCCCAGCTCGTTACCAACTGATGGGCGTTCAAGTGGGGAGCTTAGGGCTCCCTGCAAACCCATTACCAGTACTGGAAAGTCACATCACCCAGTGTGTTTAGATGGTAAGCGCAGCTGAATCGGGCCCCAGCAATTGGCCTCGGTTTGGAAAAGAGCTAGGCAGCTCCTTAGTTTCTTCCTCACGCAGGATGTCCAGCTCTGGACCTGCGAGTTCTGGGGACCAAAAGGAAGTAGGCAAGTGCCTCCTGCATAATTAGCTACATCAGTCTTAGAAAACATAGACAGCCCATCACTTTGGGCATCATGCTGTGCCTGGCACGAGCTAGTAATCCCAACTCAATCCTGGCCCTCCTGATTTTACAACCTTAAGTCACACAATGACACAGATCCCAAAGGCCTGCAGTTAACAAATACATCCACTTGTCCACCAATCACAAGGAATCCAGTGAGTTAATCAGCGACAAACAGGCCCCCCTTCAAAGAGCTTCCAGTCTGGTGGGTAAATAGGTAAGATTGAGTGAGGGTTTGAGAGGAGGGGTTCAGGAGAGGAAACACGGTCAACTTGGGCATTCTCTAACAGCCTTTTAAAAAAAGTGCCTATTGGCATGTGTCTGGGTTTTCTGTCCACTTGAGCCTGGATTGAGGGTGTAATTCCAGCCCTCCGCCGTGCGGTCGGTCCATACAACGGGCCAGAGGCAACCTCGCTTTGCGCCGCGTGGTGTGGAGACCTGGGCTAGGAGGTGGGGTCCCCGGGGCGCCCAGCGTGGGCTCGCCCTTTCTCCGTGGGTGGCCGAGGCGTGTCATCGGCCCTCGTCTCCCCGATCTTTCTTGGCGTCTTCAGTCCACCCGTCCCGCTAGCTGTGAATCCCAGCTGAGCGCCGCTGGCACAGGTTTGGGGTATAAACCTGGAGGAGATTCCGGGTTAAGTCATCCCGGGAGGTGGAGTCGCCGCGTCTCCCTAGGGCGCGCCTGCCGGGCCAGGGCTGCAGGAGGCACCGCCGACTGCACGTCCCCCAAACACTTCCGACGGGCACCTGCGTCCCGGGAGGATTCCGAGGGCCGGGCTGGTCAGGGCCGACTTGGGCCGAGTTCGCGCTCCCGGTTGTGCTCCCGCCCGTGAGATGACACTGGCCATCGGGCACCGAGGCTCCCCCGAGGCGGGCTGCGCGCTGCGCGCTGCGCTGGGCTGGCAGCTGCAGGGCCTGGTGAGAGGGCTGGCGGGCGAGCGAGCGGGGCGGAGGGAGCGCGTGTTCGGGGAGAACGCGGGACCGCGGCCCGCCGGCCCGGGAAGGGCGGGTTGGGGAGCGGAGGCGGTGGCGGCGGCGAGAGGAGCGAGCTGGGAACCCGGGCTGTAGGCCAGGCCGGCGGGCCAGAACCGCGGAGGTGTGTGTGTTGGAGGGAGGAGGGAGGAGCGACAGGGGGCGGGGATGGGGCAGCGGGAGGGA